AACATCAATCTTCGAAATATTATACCACTAAGAAATATGATGATCCCGTCGTAAAGGTCCGGCTAACAGGCATAGATTACTGTTGGATATTGAGTGGCAATGACACTGTTTCATCGTAGGAAATTCAGTACGCATCAATGCTTATTTTTCATTCTTTCAATTTGTTTGTCGCGTAGCATTTAACGTTTACCATGTTTATACGAGTGGATAAGAATAATAAGGGAATCATGTATCATTTCGGACATATATTCTCGTTAATGGTCATTGCTTGGATGTTTACAAGAACAACATTCTGCCAAGAATCTTTCTGTTTTTCATTCGTCGAAGATCACACAGAGAAATGTTTACAACAAATTATGTCAAGAAATAGGAACTCCATAACTTTTGTGTAACTTTTGCCGAATAGTAAATTTCACTAATAAATTATGTAGGTCATTATGTTAAATAGAAACTTAAATTTTGTTAGTAAATATTACCTAACCAAATGTTTAACAAAATTTATGTAAAGGCATTGATTAAAATGCCAAATGTGAGATGCATGGCCCTACATGTTATCAGCGCCTGTGATATGGTGTAATATTGATGCCCTAAAACAATTTCGCTTAAAAAATGATCATAAATTGCCCCCCATACAGCAAAAATATTTGAGTGACCGGCTTTACCATACTCATTTTCCCCATTAGACTGTAGTGTTATAAAACCGTTAGGAAAACGCCTTTTGATATTTCGAATTCCAGTCATAAATATCTTGATAATCAGATGGGCTATAGTCATGGGATTCCCGAATGACCTAAAGGTTTAATTTTAATTATGAATGCAGCATGAGCTAATTCCAGGATTTTGTTTAGAATCTAAGACAAAAATACCCAATCCCTGTATATAGGAACTCCATAACTTTTGTGCAAATTTTACCAAACAGTTAATTTACCAAATATTATGCAAATCCTTGTTTAATATAAACTTCAATTTTGTAAACATTACCTAACCAAATATTCTATTAAATGTATGTAAAATATTATGTTAGATAAGAGGACTTCAAATTTGTGTGTAAATTTTACCTAACAAACAATTCTACAAATATTATGAAAAATGCTAGGTCAAATACAACTTTAGAACTTTGTGTAATTTTTACCAAACACAACATTTTACATAAATGATGGAATATGTTGTTTGAATAAGAGCTTACAAAGCCTTAGCATTTATATTTCTTAACCACTCTATATATGGAAAAATGAAATATGTTTATGTAAAACATCTGAACCATTATGTAAAATCATCAGTGAGTTTATGTATATGTGTGCAGAATGTGATATCACCTCAAACTGTCTTGCAAAAATACCCGATATTTTCTGTCAAGAAATAGATAGTAGTATAATATATAGATGTATATATAATTATAAATTTGAAATATATATATATATATATATATATATATATAAATGGGTATTTTATATCTAGGAAATTCCCAACATATACCAGGTAAACAACTTTTAAGTAATGATCAATAACGTCAGATGGGAGGTGTTACATTAATTAATGTAATACTGCAAGAAAAATGTGTCACATGCACAAGTCAAATATTTGACAAAGAAACCAAGTACTGTTTATTGTTCAGTATTTATTTTAACAAATGATGTTCCTTGATAATAACTCATCAGGTAGAAAAGAAAAACTGTTCCTGAAAGTAATTTTTCAAGTTGCGTCTTAATTTGTTATGGCAAAATTAAAAAGCTCAAAGATGAACAATCATAACTTCTTTATAAAAAGGATCCTGAAATTGATAAATTTCTTCAAATAGAATGTAATAGCAAACATAATTAAATGGTCTCCATTGAATGATTGTTTAAAATAGCGCTTGAATAAATAAATGATCTTATCTGGAATAGTTTTATTACGTTTCACAACTAAGATGACAGACTGCATTCCAGCTTTTTAATTATCGGGAAGGGTAATCCAAGTAAGAAAATAGTTGCACTGAAGGGAGCTCTTTACATTGATATGACTTTACACGGAACCCTCTATATAGTGTACATAGCAATGATTTTCTAGCATGCCATAAATAACTGTCTGAAATTAGCAAAGATCAGATTTGAAATTATATTGATCACAGAAAACCACAGGTGTCAGAATAAGGAAGCCCTTTAACCCCTACCCCGTATTTCTCCACATGAAAGACCCCCCTCCTGCCACTGCAATTTTTGTTATCATGTGTTACCATTCCTACATTACTTTCATATGCATGAACAAGATCTGAAACTTGTTTATTCTTGTCAGAATGTTTTAGGACACTTGGCATATTTGACCAAGAGTTATAAACCCCTCATTAATGTGTGCCCCCTATGGTGCCCCCCCCCCTTTCTACAAATCTCAGTTGGATTTTAGTACTACGGATGAAAGGTTCTTATAGAGTTAAAGTGCTAACAACTGTTGGATCTTTTCTTCCCCTTGTGCCTTTTCAAAGTATACATACAAGCAATTAAAAAAATAGAAATAGATTAATTAAAGGTACTTTCATTCTAATTAGGGACTTCAAATAGAACTTCGAGAGAAAGAGAGTCATGATTTCTTGGCATATCTTACAGCCTGAACTGAACATTATCTCGATAACCTTTGGAAGCAATGTGCCATTGTATATAACTGTTTCCAAAGTATAAAATGGAACACCCAAACTGATTCGACTATGATTACAAGATGTCTTACAATTAAAAGCACCAACAAAAAATGATCAAATTGAGTTGCAAGAATTACTGAAAGGTTCTTAAACTCGACTGTTCTCAACAACGTGTGGAAAAAGTTGGCACTGCACAGCGCTTAATCAAAAGAACCAAAATCATTAGAATATAATATGATTAATTACTTCTTCTTTTTTTCGTTGTTATCAGCGACTTCAAACATAGTATCTAGAGAGTCTTACATTCTTGACACGTAACCTGGGTGGAGAGTGGAAAATGTTGATTAATGTCTAGCCAAAAGACGTCGAATTACAAACATACACAAGCGTCCCAAACAGTAATCAGTTTGCCGACTTTAACCGCATACATGTATTTATTCACTCATTCGTCATTTACTTTTGGTTGTTGGGGACAATCAAGCTCGCAATTAAACAACCATTCATCGTGCATAGTCATCTTTATTTCACATTTCATACAGTCGTCACAAATATTAAAAGGAGGCGTATTAAACCAACAACAGAAGAAAAAAAATCATAATTTATTCTGATCAAGATGAACGAGTGTGTTGATTGCCCCCCAAAACAAAAACGCTCCCACCAGACAAGTTCAGGCTGTGCTGTAGCAATGTACATCGCAAAGCATCCATAATGATAGGAAAGATAATACCCCGCCTGTTACGACGCAAAACGGCGCGGGAAGAATAGATCGCGTCGCGAGAAGAATACATCAAGTTTTTACAAACAATGGGATGTTTATCAGAACGAGAACAAGAAGAGGGGAAGACAGGTTTTGGCTGACAAATACTTTCTGTATAACAAGTTTAAGCTGTACCGTTGTGCATCGCGCATCACGAGCGAGAACAATGACGGGAGAGATAATCTTCCATAGCCTGGTGGGGCGCGAAAGGGCGCACGAAGAATAGAGCGGGTTTATACCAACAATAGACAGTTTCTTTTCATATGCAAGAATCAGATGAGGGTAACTGTCGCGCCCCTTTGTGCCCCTTTGCGCCCCTTTGCGCCGAAATGCGTCTCTTGAGACGCGACCTTTCTATTCATCGCGCCCCGACGCGTCCGGGCACAGTCGCAACTTTGGCAGGCCCCCTACCCTTACTAGACACCTACCCGGAAATGTTGAATTTAAGGGGCAGCGCCCCAACCCCTTTTTCTTCCAACCAGTCATTAAATAGGGGTATTTTCAAGCCTTTTCCATTCCGTATGAGTGCAGTGGTTTAGGTAATTTTGTGTACGCAAGTTATGTGATAATTTTAAATTCATTTCTATCACGTGTGTACTGTTAATTTTGGTAACTAACTATTCATATATCAATCCATGTATAATAATAAATTTAAAACCATACAAGAAAGGTTTCGCTTTCACGAGATTAGAGTCTATGTTGACCAAAAGTGTTGTGGTATTGAGGATACATCACCAAAATGTGGATCACATGGTTCGTGGTTCGAGTCCCGTCGCGGCAGTAATGTCCTACGGCAAAACACTAATCTACATTTGCCACACTCCACCCAGGTGTAGTAAATAGGTATCTGGAAGGAATTTATCCTTGAATTTGCTTTAGCCTTAGAGCAGCAGGCTAAAGCCGTGGTAGTAATAATATTATGTATAAGCGCCTTGAGGTCAGTAAAGTAAAGTGAATGCCTATGCTAACAAAAGTTTTTAAAAAAAAGCAACCAACAAATACAATCTAAACTTTTTGATCTCATGAACATGGTATATATCAGTTTGTGCATTGTCCAAGTTTTAAATTTGACAGCTTGTTTGTATGCTTCTGTTGGGCAAACAACGAGTAGTTGACATTCATCTCAAATACCCTTTGTGTCCTTACTCATGACTGGTTTGTTAACTCATGTTTCGTGCTTTAAAAAATATATGTAAGCTCTTAAAGAGAAGGTTGAGTTCTGGGAAGAGGTGAAAAATAATTTGTGAGCATTACTCATTCTTATTATGCAAGTGTGGAAGAACATCAGTTAAGACATGTTCCCTGAAAAGCTTGGCTCTTCAAATGCCTTCATATTCTAAATATACATGTAACATCGTAAAAATCGGGGGCCGGCTTTTTACGCCACGTGTTCGTGTAGTCCCATATACATCTTTCTGTGCAAGTGTTTGTAACTTTACCAAGACTTGGCCACATTTCTTATCATTTTGATGATTCCAGAACCTTGCAATACACACAAATTCTTATATGATAGATGATCAACCTTTTCTGGTCGGTTCCACACCGTTTCTTTCACAATGCAATCGCATGACCAGAACTCAACTTCATCTTTAATATGCAAAAGAGCTTCACAATTATTCTTTTTATTAACAGCCACTACTCAGGCACCCCCTAGAACACTGCAGGTGCGCTTGGTGAATGGCAACACGTCCAATGAAGGTCGTGTTGAGGTCCTGTATAACGGAACTTGGAGCACCATCTGTGACGATTCCTGGGATCTGCCGGATGCTCATGTGACCTGTCGTATGCTGGGCTATCCTGGGGCGCAGAGTGCTCTCGCCAGTGGTTTCTTTGGCCCGGGTGAAGCAGGTATTCTTCTGGACGATGTGGAATGTATCGGAAATGAAACGAGTCTTGAGGATTGCCAACACCCTGGGTTCTATGAGCATGATTGTTCCCACAGTGAAGATGCGGCAGTGGTCTGCAGAGGTAATTTATTCTCAATTTGTTCAATACTACATCTCAGATAACAATACGATGTTGGGCCAACGTTGCCATTTTTTCACTGATAAATGATGAATATTGGTTGGCTATACGACGTTGGGCTTACGTTGGCTTAACGTTGGGATATGGCTCATGGTGGGAAAGGGGTTTGCATAGCATTTGCCCAATTTTGGCCCGACGTCAATTTGTCGCTGTCGAGCCAAAGTTGGCCCGCCGGCCAAAAAGACGTTGGGCCTACGTAACATCACACGTTGGCAACACGTTGGCACAACGTCGTATCGCTATCTGGGATGTAAGCCTGAGATTACTGTGTCTGGGACCTATAGGATGGTGAGAGGTGCTATGGTGAAACAGATAGTTTTCTCATATAAGTGCAATAAATTGTCTGCATGCATCTGCTACTAAAACATGCCTCTGTGCTTATAGCATGTAGCTGCAGCACACAGATGACTGGTAGTGCAGCCTCTGATCTTTGATTCTGATTCTACAGGAAGCTACTACCCATTGTTCTTTACCCTGGATGTTCATTCCATATGTTTAATCACATGTGTTATTGCGTGAAAAGCGGGAAAATGTCTTAGACAAGTTTTTCTTGAGAACTGTAGCTCAGCCTGTCATTAACTTCTCTGTATACTTTAACAGTTTTTTGCTGGGCTAAGAGAGTTTTTAGTCCAGCCATTTCCCGGGCTCTCTTCTGTGTTCACACCTGGTTTTTCGAAAGTGGGCTAGTACCGCAAGTCCACCGTTTAAGCTGGCCCTGCCTCCGAGTAGGGTCAGCGCGGCAACGCGACTGTGAATTCTTATTATTATTGGTAGTATTAGTAATAGTAGTAGTAGAAGTAGTCGTAGTAGTAGTAGTAGTAGTAGTAGAAATAGTAGTTGTAATTTTTATATAATTATTAGCCATTGATATCATGTGATATTAAACCTAACCTTTTACACTCTGAAACATTCTTTAAAAAGTTCACTTTATATTGGTATCAAAATGAACTCCCAGAGTCCATCCGCTTAGCAATTAACTTAAATATGTTCACTGAATCAATAATTCAATCATACCCCCACCCTTTCTAGTTATTTACATGTATTTATTTGTTAAATTTGCATTATGTCTTTCTTTTTGTAATATGTATTTGTTTTCTTAACCTTCACTTATTTTAATGTTATGTATTGTTATTGTTTAATTTTGTATTGTATCTGTTTATTCATATGTAGTTTAATGTTCCATGTACGGACAAGCTGAAAAACAACTATGCCCAGCTGAAAGCATGTTTTGCAATCACCGTATTTAAATAAATTAACAAACAAAATAAAAACAAAAACGGAATCGTAGTGGAATGCTTCCCGTATTTACAAAGCCAAATCTAATTATCTGCATAGGACAGATAGAAATTGCCAGTCTGCTTATTTATTTCCTTTTTTCAATACAGATTACTTTGTACTAGCTGGGTATAATACGCTTAGCAAATAAAAAGCACATCTTCATTTTTTATTTGTTTGTTTGTTAACTTCATTCTGTTTGTTTTTCTTTACTAGTTGTTTTAATTACTGTTAGGGACGGTATATTCGGAATTTTTCAGATTTTTGTCAAAGATGTTATTAATCGTTCCTGTAATCAAATTTGTAAACATTTTCTCACAGCTGGGAGTGCACAAGCTGTTTATGCATTTAAAATAGCAGATTTATTTACAAAAGCTTGTCAAAGCCTTTGTTAAAACAGTGCTTTGCGATTTAAAGTATACTTTAGGCCAACAGTTATGCTAAATAAAGTATGGGTTAATGTATGTTTCTGAAAAAGCCTCATGCTACCAGGCAAGCACATCTCCGTGAAAAAACATACCAGCAGGAAATAGGATTCTTTATATCATTATAAGTAGGTTAATCGATGATAGGCGTCGGGTATCATAGCCTGACTTAGTTCATAAACGATGATCCTATAAACAGCTATCCACGGTTAATACGTATATTGTTTCAGCCAGTTCGAAGAATCCCATCTTTTTTACCGTGTAACAGGGTACTAAACATAATGCTTTCCTTTCTTATAGGCCAATGTATGCACCCCTTTCAGGTCATAATCCTCTTGAAGGGCTAAAATTAGTAACTGCATACACAGTCTAGAGTAGAGTCACAGATCCATATGCTATTTTGCACACATTACACAAGAGTCACAACAAAATATTTAGTTAGTGGGGCTGAAGATAAGATCTTGATCACATGGCTCAAAGCTTGAAACAGTCTGTTAATTCCTCAGTTTCCCCGTTATGTAAAAAATTCCTCCCATGGTACCAGTAAGAACTTGAGACAAATTAAATATTGCTTGGTTTGCTAGAGACTAAATAGACGAATAAGGAATAACAGTGCAAAATACTTCGTGCGTTCTTCAACTTACAGTGATTCCCAATAGCGATATCGAAGCTTGCATAAAATGCCCGAACCCCGCCCGCCCCATCTTTCCCCGCCCACACTCCCTCAATTTCATATTCTGATTGCTGAGATTGAGACTACAGAGAGAAAGATCAGAGGGAAAGAGGTGAGAAAGAGACACCCAGAGAGAGGGGGAGGAGAGAGAGGAAGAGAGAGAAATAGAGATGAAGATGATGAGACAGCCCTCTCCAGGACAGCGTTCACGCTTTTGGGAGAGTAATTCTTAAAGGTTCAAGGTTCAAGAGAGGAAGAGATGAGGAGAGAGATGAGCAAGAGAACGAGATAGAGAGGGAGGAAGTGTGTTAGAGAGAAAACGAGATGACGATGATGATGAGGGATGAAGAGAGAGAGAGAGGGGGAAGAGCGGGAGTGAGAGATGATGACGATGAGAGAGGGGGAGAGAGAGAGAGAGAGAGATACGATGAGAGATGAGACAGACAGATAGAGAGAGGGGCGAGAGTGAGAAAGAGGTAGAAATAGAGAAAAGGAGATGATGATGAGGATGATGAATATGAGGGAGATGATGAGAGAAATGAGAGAGAGAGAGAGAGAGAGAGAAAGAAAGGAATCTGTAATTGGTATAGGCCTAGCCTTTTACTTAATCAAGTTGAAAAAAGGTTATCCTTTGATCGACAGTGGTTCGTGGACGGAATTTAAAGAAATCTCATATCCGCTATATAGTTATGCAATCCCTGCTAATATATTTAGATCACTGATCATACCCTGCTACCCTGTGATTTAAATGACATCTCTAACGGACAGCTCATCAATAGACAGAAGTAAACAGTTTTAAAAAACAAGTGTCACTGTAGATGTAAACCAGCTTAAAAGGGCAATCCAACATTTTTAATAAGCTCTTCAAAAGTAGGGGTACAAATAAGTGAAATAGAATAGCGAAAGTTTAAAATAAATAAGTGAGTTAGAAGTAACTAAGTTGGGAATGTTTGAAATGTTTTCTTATTAATGGTAATCAAATTTGAAATTATATAATGTTAAGTGTTAGAAATTAATTTAACTTAATTATCTCAATTTATTTAGGTCAAATAAAAAGTCTATGAATATTGTTGTTGCGCTTTGTGTTTGTTCACCTGCCATACATGATTGTTATTTTCTTCATGCCACAAAGTTCCACATACATGCAATCATTCTATTAGTTATTATGCTTAATGGATTTACTTGAATTATGTTATGTTTTTTCACCGTTACTTCTTAAATCTATTCGCATGTATGTAGCACCAGCGGACGTGGACAACCTCATGACGGAATGGAAATTCGTAATAGGTAATCCTCAGACGTCCGCTGGTGGCATTTTCACTGTCCTGTAATTCTCCCATGTTAAATCCTCTGTGTTGTAATTTTCTATTTTGTTCATACATGTACCTGGAAATTAAATTTAGAAAATTTATATTAATTAAAAAAAAAAATCACAAATTCTATGCGAATCTCACATTAGAAATGCAGTGATTAGTGACGTAGTTAATTCTCCCGTTCGTAGTGTCCACAATATTTTTTATTTGTGTTTTTCTCTTCAGTGGCTTTTACGCTTTGGGATATATTTAAAATATATTTTGGATAGCCTATTAGTATAGGTCATCTAAAAGGAAAGACCTTGATTAATACGTTAAAAAAAAAGAAGATATTTGAGTAATTTGTTTGTGTTGAAACAAATGGAAGAGTTGTCCGCTACTACATTACATCAAATAGATACTATTTCTTTGATTACATTAACGTATTACCGATTCGTAACAAGGAACAAGGAACAAGAAATGTCAAGAGCGATTTTTACTCTTAATTAGAATTCAACTTTTCTTTAATATGCTTTACTTGCAAACACACACACGCACTACCCAACACATATATATATATATATTTATATATTTATATATATATATATATATATATACACACACACACATATATATATATAACTTCCCTAACCTGTTCCAAAATACCTCTACTTGACCTCTCTCTTTATTCACCTCTTATTAATCCTCCCCTCTCATTCTCTCATCGTAACCAATGTATAAGATCTTTCCTTGACTGCACATGAAGACACAAATGCATTGAAACAAGTTGTACCGAAGTATACAAGTATAGTGTTAATTTAAAGTTTACAATATTACACACTAAAAGGATTGCACAACAAAGAAGGTACATGTTAGTTTTTTTTCTTCTTGTTATTTATGTTTTAGTAAACATATGTATCAACAGTATAAAAAAAAGAAATGCAATGAATTTTGGTATTACATACAAGAGCCTTTTGTTGGAATGTTTGGAAATGTTATGTAAGACAAAGAACATCTATTACTTACACGATTGGAACTATTTTTGTTTTATAAATTCAAGGGCTATTTTGATACCCTACTGGAATATCCAAAAGAAATCAAGTTCGATTTTCATAAAACATAATAATATAATAATAATAATAATAATAATAATAGTCTGGATTTATATAGCGCTTAATACGAAATCCCGTCTCCAAGCGCTTTACAAATGTTATTTCCCCGGCCATCGGATCATTCACGCATAATGTGCACCATCTCTACTTCCTGGGGAGTATTCCTACCTAAGGTCATCGTGAGGGCATATGGCAATTAATAACCCAAAGACTTTTGTCATCTTACAAGGCCCCCATTCCTCTCTAGGATGTGGAGTGGCAAATCTAGATTAATGTCTCGTCATTGTCATGTTTGCAAACTTCAAGGCTAGGTTGATTTTCGGAAATTAGTTGCGATCGTGTTTACAATGTAAGCATAATAAGCCGTGGCAGATGACTGTCGCAAATACTGTATGGAAATAATCTCCCCAAACATTGATGGTTTTAAGGCGCTGGTTAAGTCCAACAAGATATATTTACAGAATAGCCAAGTATAAAATTAGACTTGCTCTTTACTTTCGAAAGTGGAAGATAAATTTAACTGACATTCATATGATTTATAAACTATTGCAAAACATGTTCTTTTCCTTTATTTGTGTACATATCCTTTTCTCCATTGCCAACCGCCTTTGATATATTGTTTTTTCTTGTTTATTTTGATTCAGGTTCGTTAACTGAAAAATGACAAAAAAACTGCCTTGGTGAACATGTTTATCCTGAATAAAGATGTTCAAATGAAATGAAATGAAATAAAATAGCTTGAATTTAGTTTTTAAGAATGTTTTTCGATTCAAAGATGGAATTTAATATCCATTGTATACAAAGTAACAACACATCTTAATGATTAACAAATAAAGGCTTTGAAATTCGAATTTTAAAATCATATTCTTTTACTCTGCTTTAGCCCATTTGGCCATTTAATTTCCTCCCTCTGTCCCCCCCACACCCACTCTCTATGCCCTCTCTTCAACTCTCTCTTATATCTCCTCTCTGTCCTCTAGATATCTATCGTCCCTCTCTATTCCTTCCTCTATCCCCGTCTCCCTCTCCCCACCCCTCCTCCTCTCATTCACCCCTCTCTCCAACCTCTCCCTTGAATCTCTCTCAATCTCGTTTCTCTTTCCCTCTCTTTCTCTTTCTCTCCCTCCCTCCCGCTCTCTTAACCTCCTTTTATTTTATTTTATTTGCTGAGTGAAGAGACACTCCACCCTTTCCCCTTTAGCTACGCCATTATAACGTCTTCTTCATGTCTTGTTTACGTCAATGCTAAGATTGATTTAAGTATACATCTTCAAAGTCTTGAAGTGGGATACGTGTTTGCTGGACGACATTCATGCTCCACCCTATAACACAGTAAATTACAACCTACCACAGGAGAAAAATGTATTAGTGTAAAAACGAACATCAATCTTCAAAATAATATACCACTAAGAAATATGATGATCCCTTCATAAAGGTCCGGCTAACAAGCATAGATTAATGTTGGATATTGAGTGGCAATTACACTGTTTCATCGTAGGGAATTCAGTAAGCATCAATGCTTATTTTTCATTCTTTCAATTTGTTTGTCGCGTAGCATTTAACGTGTACCATGTTTATACGAGTGGATAAGAATAATAAGGGAATCATGCATCATTTTGGACATATATTCTCGTTAATGGTCATTGTTTGGATTTTTACAAGAACAACATTCTGCCAATCATCTTTCTGTTTTTCGTTCGTCGTAGATCACACAGAGAAATGTTTACACAAAATATGACAAGAAATATGTTAAATAGGAACCCATAACTTTTGTGTAAAATTTGCCGAATAGTAAATTTCACAAATAAATCATGTAGGTCATTATGTAAAAAAGAAACTTCAATTTGTTTAGTATATGTTACCAAACCAAATGTTTTACACAATTTATGTAAAGGCATTGATTAAAATGCCAAATGTGAGATGCATGGCCCTACGTGTTATTAGCGCCTGTGATATGGTGTAATATTGATGCCCTAAAACAATTTCGCTTAAAAAATGATCATGAATTGCCCCCCAAACAGCAAAAATCTTTGAGTGACCGGTTTTACCATACTCATTTTCCCCATTAGACTGTAGTGTGTTAAAACCGTTAGGAAAACGCTTTTTGAAATTTCGAATTCCAATCATAAATATGTTGACAATCAGACGGACGATAATCATGGGATTCCTGAGTGACCTAAAGGTTTAATTATAATCATGAATGCAGTATGAGCTACATCCAGGATTTTGTTTAGAATCTGAGACAAAGATACCTAATCCCCTTATATAGGAACTCAATAACTTTTGTGCAAATTTTACCTAAAAGTTAATTTCCCAAATATTATATAGAAATTGCCAGTCTGCCTTTTTCTTTCCTTTTTCAATACAGATTACTATGTACTCACTGGTAATGATAAGCTTAGCAAATAAGAAAACAAATATTCTGTTTTGATTTGTTTGCTTGTTAATTTCGTTCTATTTTTTGTTCTTAAAAATAAAGATCAGTTCTGGTCATGCGATTGCATTGTGAAAGAAACATTGTGGAATCGATCAGAAAAGGTTGAACATCTAGCATATAAGTATTGGTGTGTACTGCAAGGTTCTGGAATCATCAAAATGATAACAAATTCGGCCCGGTCGTGGTAAAGTTACAAGCACCGTACACAGAAAGATGTATATGGGACTGCGCACAGGTGCGCGACACGTGCGTTATCCATCACATCCCAATAGATAAACTAATTTAGCAAATATATCAATTAGTAGGCGGTTTCCCGGCAAAAATTGTATCATCATGTATTATTCAAAACATATTCTTTCACATGATTGGTAATAAGAGCTTCCAATTCATTTCTTTGAAATTGGGGCGTTTCCAATACTGGTATTTACCTTTAACCAGTTTTTTTAATTGTTGTTATAGGGACGGTCATATAGTCGGAATTTTCAGATTTTTCCATAGATTATTTATCGTTCCTGAAGTTAAATTTGTAAACATTTTCTCACAGCCGGGAGTGTATCAAGCTGTTTATGCATTTAAAATAGCAAATTTATTTACAAAAACTTTTCAAGAGCCTTTGTTTAAAAAAAATGCTTTGCGATTTCAAGTATTCTATAGGCCTACAGTTATGCTAAATAAAGTATGGGTTAATGTGTGTTTCTGAAAAAGCCTCATGCTACCAGGCAAGCACATCTCCGTGAAAAAATATACCAGCAGGAAATAGGATTCTTTATATCATTATAAGTAGGTTAACATCGATGATAGGCGTCGGCTATCATAGCATGACTTATTTCATAAACGATGATCCTATATAAACAGCTATCCACGGTTAATACGTACATGTATACTATTTGAACCAGTTCGAGACTTCTTCAAATTCCGTATACGGAACACTGTCGATCAAAGGAAACCAATTTTGACAAATGAAAAGTCTAGGCCTATAACAATCACCGAATCCTTTTTTGATCTCTTTCTCTCTCCTTTCTCTCACCATCTCTCTCATCATCTTCATCATTATCATCTCTTCCCCCTTTCTATGTTACTCTCTCTCTCTTCGTTCCTCATCATCAACAACTTCATCAGCATTATCATCATCTTCATCATCATCATCATCATCTTTTTTTCTCTCTCTCTCACACTACAAATAGAACCAAATATATATAATTGTGGCCGATTTGAAGAACAACATATATGCTCAATTTAGCCCATACAGAAAATCAGGCCCTGAAAGGGATACATACATTGGCCTATGGGAAAGGAAAGCACTAAGTTTTATGTTTTGTACCCTTTTACACGGTAAAAGAAGATGGGATACGTCGAAGTGGCTGAAACAATGTACGTATAAATCATGGATAGCTGTTTATAGAATCATCGTTTATGAAATCAGTCAGGTTATGGTAGCCGACGCCTATAGTATAGTATGCTATAGTATTTATTTTCCGTTTTAAAAACAAACATATTTTACAAGTATATACATAACGTCAATAAAACGGCTGGATAGCCCATATTCAGCTGTGCCAGGCACGACACTGCTGGTCTTCCATGGGGTCCAGAAATCATATACATAAATAAATATAAAACATGACATGTGATTATTTACTAAATTAAAGGAAGACTGTGATCAATGTTAGCCTACTTATAATGAAAGAAAGAAAATCCTGCTTCCTGGTGTTCTTTTTTCACAGAGATGTTTTGGTAGCATGGGGATATTTTCATAAACAAACATTAATCCATACCTTATTTAGCGTAACTGAAGGCTTATGGTATACTTTAAAGTGAAAGACACGCTTCTGATAAGCTATTGTAAATAAAAAAAAATGAATCTGTTATTTTAATTGCATAAAAGTTTCATACACCCCGGCTGAAATATAACAAACTATAGGACAGGAACAATAAATGACATCTTGACGATACATCACCAGCATGTGGATCACATGGTTCGTGGTTCGAGTTCCGCCGCGGCACTAATGTCCTTTCGGCAAAATACTAATCTACATTTGCCACACTCGACCCTGGTGTAGTAAATAGGTATCTGGACGGAATTCATTGCTCGAATTTGTGTTAGCCCTAGGGCAGAAGGGCTACAGCCGCGTTAGTTATACTATTTTATAGACATCTTGAGCATCCGCTGGGATGGATGTCTGCGCAAAATAATTGTAGTTATTATATCCTTCATCCAGAACATTATCATTTTCTCTTACTTAGTGATCTATCTCTGTGTCTATTGAGATGGATCAGTACAGTTCTGCAAAATATTAACTTTGTCTATCAAGAATGAATCATATTGTCACAATCATTTCATGACAAAAGGTGAAGAGAAATTATTCCAACCTCAAGGGTAATATTGTATTAAATGAAGGAGAAGGAGTAGTAGCAGTAGAAGTAGGAATAGTAGTAATATTAATAGTAGCAGTAGAGGTAGTACTACTACTATTACCCGTATTAATAGCAGTAGTAATGTTAGTAGAAGTGGTAGTAGTATTAAAGGGATAGTTGAGTTTTGGTGTAGATCATGGCGCTACACAAAACAATTTTTTGTGAGTAATGAAAACATAACCGTGTCAAATGTGAAAGAGCAAACAATTTAAATGACAAAATTATCTTTGTTTGAACCAAATCGGTTCAGAGACGGCTAAAATATCCAAACATATAATCATTTCTAATATTTGTGGGGCCCCCACAAATATTCGATGATTTTGAACCAGCCGTTGAAAAAACAAGATAGCGCCTTATACGTTTTATTCCAGCCAATGCCAATGTTAGCTTTTTGTTGCCTTTTTTGTGTTGGTTACTTGATTATAATACGCACAATCAGCCGGCCCGTCTATTGTTATTATTATTAGTGTTGATATTATTCAAAATTAACGGTCACCGTATTTTGGGGAAAGTGGAGCTAAATTGGTATGATCGGAAGTTAAGCTAAATGTCACACATGTTGGGGTCTAACATAACCTTCATAGCATACTCTTACTACCCCTAACACTACTACTACTACTAAAACTGCTATTTTTCTTCTACTACAGTGTAATACTACTTATACTATTATAAGAAGAAGAAGTGGAAGAAAGAGGAGGAGATTTGTTCGTGTTATGGCAAGTTTCGCTGAAATCTTTGGACTGTGAATCGCAGATGTCGAATTTTACAATGAATTGTTTTTTTCTAATCGGACATATTAATAACTCGGTGTGATCGAGAAATCCCTTATTTAATATCTATATTTTGTACAGATTCCGCCTTATTTCCGCTGCAGAATGAAACGTGTGTAACTGGACATTGCTATCTCGATTCGAACAATGGTAAGAAGTATATTGATTAATGAGCCTACTAAACGCAGGCAAATGAAAATGTTTAGCGTGGACCGAGCCTCTATTCAAATGATCTTTTATGTTCAGTTTTAGACACATACAGGCATTAGCAATGACGTTCATATATAACACATCGTCTTTTCTTTTTATCAAAGAGGGCGTTTACTATGTAGAAAATGGAAGGCCTTTCTGGCTCCAAACAGTCGATATTAACCTCGCTCTTGTAAACAAAATTAATCATTTGAAATTAATCATTTAAAATTTGATCTCGTTTTCGAAACGACTTGTAAGCGTAATCCACAAAACATGTAGAAGAGTGGAACAACGAAAACTGAGAGTTGGGTGTGCCATTGGCTTCCTCATTTTAAGATTGTTTATGGGTCTGTTCAGACTAAAATATTCATACGAAACTCTCCTTAAAAAGAACGTCGTATAACAAACGTCTTAAAACCGTAGGAGGTATATACTACAACAGCGTTTTTCTAATTGTATAGACACGGCATTCTCAGAAGAAGAACAAAGTTCCCGTCACCGAATTCACTTATTCAGGCATCACGTTGCACAAAATATGAAGTTATTTATGCACCTCACTGTCTGAAATCAACATGTCACTAAACGATTCCAGCTAGCGAAGCTATGGAGGAAAAAAAGACACTTTATTATCTTTAAAGTGTGCTGGTATGGGTGCGCTAGTTACTTACGTGGCTTAGCTGTAACTGGGGTAATAATGTCTTAGTGCCATGAGCGTCATTGCCTGACGGATACAGGCGCTATAAAAGTGATATAAGTGGCAATTATTTCTAAAGTTAGTACTTCTTTATGAATACCGACCTTTTTAAAATCAAATTATTTACAGTGAGCCGCTGCATACCAGTTGTGGATATATGTGCGATGGATGTATGGTATATAGGTGAGTAAAAAATAAATTAAAATAAATATACATTTTCGAATAGTTTCGATGGCTGTTTCTCATGGTTTTAAGTATGTTTAATATTATACATGTGTTTATGATATGAGGGAGGGGGGGGGGGGGGTAGTGAGCTCTATTTTTGTTTGGTGCTCAACGAGGGGAGGGGTGAGGTGTGGGGGGGGGGGGGAGTGCCCACTTTTTTATCAACACCCATCCCCCCTTTTTTCCAGGGGAGGGGGCCCGTCTCTTTTTTTTCTTTTAGGTACAATTTATGTGTTTTTATCAGTTTTACGGCCAAAGGATCTGCCACTGTGTGTGATTATGTGTGTGTGTGTGCGGGTGTTCGTTTGTGTTTGTACATGTATATACATGCATTTAACTTTAATTTGCTATTATTCCATTTTATTCAAAGGTTTAGTATGTCTAGCTACACCGATTCGACCCATCGCTTCAACAATACGATGCATGTAAGTTCACTTCACTAGTAAACATTCGTGACTATATACAACAACGATCATCTCGATCTATGAAAACAGTACTGCATATCACACCCGAACCATCAGTGGATATTGCAAAAGAAACTGGATTGCTTAATACCAAAGGGTACTAACACATTTGTCCCTTATAATTAAAAATGACTCATAGATCCTGATTTCATGGATATTTTCCTTCTTATTTAACATTTGCTTCTAAACTTTTTAGGGGAATAGTTGCCTACCGTAGTGTAAATCTAATTTTTAAGAAGAATTTAAATTTAAACGATTTTCTTTTTCTTCGAAAACGATGTCGCAGCATAACTATTTTCAGTAGTTTTTTTTCAATTTTCTCTACTAAGTGCCGCTGTAAATATGTCGACATCTTCATGTCATGATTCACAATATATTAACTAATTTTCCTTCTTGTGTTGGTTACTTTTTCCAATTTTCCCTTGTTGCCGATAAAGGACTTTCAATGAGAGAGCCAAGACTAATCTAACTATACCCGAAGTGATATCCGCACTGACTGATAAGTTAGGACTGTATTATACTACAGCTGCAGACAAGTTCCACGGTCTCCTCGCAAATCCTCGAGACCTACAGCTTCTGCCACAACATATCTACGATAATCAAAGACAAGCTAGAGTACTGTGAGTTGGTATTTCCCTGTCTGATTCGTGACCCGACTTTTTCTTCCGCCACAATGTCCTTATATGATTGAAAATACCTGTTATAGGGTGAATACTCGAATGGTGTCAAAATCCCCATAAAACCCACTACTATGAGCCTTTGTAAAATGCAAAAATAGTTATTTTTTTTCATTTTGGCTTGATGGTAGTGGTCAGACACGATTGCTGTTCCAGACTTACCACCACGTGATGTATAACCTTTTTTTAAATGTTTGTTCAAAATCGGGTTTAACAAAGAAAGTTAGTCCGAGGTTTAACTTTTTCTTTTGTGATTTTAGACGCAGAGTCTGGTTTAACCGAATTAGTCGAAAAAGACCATTGTGTCTATGATAAAGGCAAGGTTAAATTTAGGCTCATAATTATGTTTCCTTTCGTATTTGTCAACAGAATTCTGTCAGGTTATGAAATACAACACATTGAAGCTAATGCGTTCACCGCATTTACAAGCCTCCGTACACTGTAAGTACTTGATATTATTCTCCGCAAATGATTTCATGTGTCTACTTAAAAACAAATACCCCACTCTCAAGATTTAACGTACTCTGTCTTAAATACTTTTTTCCAATAACTTAAATGCCCCTCTAAAGTGTTGGGAGCCCCAAAAATTTGATGGCAAAATGTTAAGAAAGGGGATGTCATTTAAGACACATTTCTGCAAGGATCTTCAAAACAAATGCGTTTAAAGTCGAATTTTTGTCTTCAAACACATTTTTCGGGGGAAATCTTTGCAGAAGTGTGTCATAAATGACATCCTCTTTCACATTATGATACAATTTAATTAAAATTTTGCCATCAAATTGTTGGCGAATTTGGGGCTCCCAACGCTTTGAAGGGGCTTTAAAGTTTAAAAGATGGTTCTTTTAATTCTTCAATTTATTATCCAGCATGCATGTGTATGTGTGGGGTGGCGAGGGTGTGTGTGCGTGAGTGTGGTTGTATTATAGGTAGGCATTATACGTATTTTTTTTCTTGATTGATGTTATTCTTTTGTGGTCTAAGGTGATACATGTATTGAAATATATAATTGTTGTAAGTGAGTTTTTCATGACTTCCTTACTAAGAGGGGATTTAATATAGTGACCAAACTCGTTTTGACCTTGTTCAAACTTAATTTCTCCTTTTAGAACATCCTACAACATTTTGGGTGTGGTTAATATATACGTGTTAGACGCAGAGGCCTAATTACGTTAATGGTCACATGGGTCTTGTATACCTACTCCGAGGACAAAGTGGTCACTCGATTAAATTGTTCATAGATAATGTTGAATGTATATCATTATGAAATTATGATATATACTCTCATGCATATTATATTGTTTTTAGTCTTTCTGGACGTGGATGTATGTCAGGCAAGGCCTTGATGGGCAGTTATATTACTGACAGTCGTGCACTTATACTAAACGAAGCCGGTCGTTTCACAACGCACCATGTTTAATTGAAGCTGTCAAGGTAGCCTGTCTTTATTGCAGTTTATATACAGCTGCTGAGGTGTGATGTTTCGTTACGAGATGCAGGTCATACAGCTGAGATGACTAAGTTTTTTCTCCTACCTGTGTGACATTTAGTCTAGGGGGTTTCCGTTTTTTCCATTTATACCACGAATGAACACTACTGAACTTCACTATGGCGTCCCATACTCTTCATTTACGTTTGGCTATAATTTAAAACAATCGCAAATAAGTTGCTTTACATAGCAACTCTTTATAAGAAGGGGTCCTGATCTTCCCAATAGTTTCCCATCACTATTCCTTAAATAAATACAAATTAAGTTCTACAGGTCATACTCTTTTCAGGTTGAATCAGCAGAGCTTTGGAATAAACTTCCTGCATATTTTAACATTTGTGATATGGTTGAAAACTCTAAAAATTGTCTCAAAAAGTTTTTGTTATTTTGTATTAAAGAACCAATTTCGAATGTCAACTGAACACTTAAAGTTGATATTCTAAGACAATCCCAAATATTAAGATAATTACATCAATAGAAAGCTTTTAACCCCCAGAATAACACTAAATGGTGTCCAACCAGGGGCGTAAATCCCGGGGGGGGGGTGGGGGGCTGCATCCCCCCTGGCTTGAAGTAGGGGGGAATGGCCTCTACAATCATCCCCCCCCCCTGATATTACCCAAAAAAAGAGAGGAAAAAAAAGGAAGAAGAAGAAGAAGAAGAAAAAAATGTGATTGTTTCAATTTCAGCATAATGCATGAGAAATGAGTTATTTTTTTAATGTATAGCCTATACACGTATACAGTATGTCACGATAAGGAAACGTCAAGGCTTCCGCGATTCGCGCGAGAGGGGGAAACTAAATTCAGATAAATATAGGGCTTATTAAGAGTCGAAAGCGGTGCAACGAATCGTCTTCTTTCTTTGATAATAAAATCAAACGTCTAAGCTTTTCGCGCTTCGCGCGGGAAGGGGAAACTGAATTCAGACGAGAATTAAGAGTCGAAAACAGTACACTCAATCGTCTGCTTTCTCTAATAGTTTAAGGAAACGTCAAGGCTTCTGCGCTTCGCGCGAAAGGGGAAAACTGAATTCAGATAAATAGGGCTTATTAAGAGTCGAAAACTGTGCAATGAATCGTCTTCTTCCTATAATAATTAAATCAAACGTCTAAGCTTTTCGAGCTTCGCGCGGGAAGGGGAAACTGAATTCAGACGAGAATTAAGAGTAAAAAACAGTACACTCAATCGTCTGCTTTCTCTAATCTGTTAAGGAAACGTCAAGGCTTTCGTGCTTCGCGCGAGAGGGGGAAACTGAATTCAGATAAAAAGGGCTTATTAAGAGTCGAAAACTGTGCAACGAATCGTCTTCTTCCTATAATAATAAAATCAAACGTCTAAGCTTTTCGCGCTTCGCGCGGGAAGGGGAAACTGAATTCAGACGAGAATTAAGAGTCGAACACAGTACACTCAATCGTCTGCTTTCTCTAATAGTTTAAGGAAACGTCAAGGCTTCTGCGCTTCGCGCGAGAGGGGGAAACTGAATTCAGATAAATAGGGCTTATTAAGAGTCGAAAGCGGTGCAACGAATTGTCTTCTTTCTATAATAATTAAATCAAACTTCTAAGCTTTGGGCGCTTCGCGCGGGAAAGGGAAACTGAATTCAGACGGGAGTTAAGAGTCGAGAACAGTACATCCAATCGTCTGCATTCTCTAATAATTTAAGGAAACGTCAAGGCTTCCGCGCTTCACGCGAGAGGGGGAAACTGAATTCAGATAAATATTGCTTATTAAGAGTCGTAAACGGTGCAACGAATCGTCTTCTTTCTATAATAATTAAATCAAACGTCTAAGCTTTTCGCGCTTCGCGCGGGAAGGGGAAACTGAATTCAGACGAGAATTAAGAGTCGAGAACAGTACACCCAATCGTCTGCTTTCTCTAATAATTGAAGGAAACGTCAAGGCTTCCGCGCTTCGCGCGAGAGGGGGAAACTGAATTCAGATAAATAGGGCTATTAAGAGTCGAAAACGGTACAACGAATCGTCTGCTTTCTATAATTATTTAATGAAACGTCAAAACTTCCGCGCTTTCCGCGGGAGGGGTAAATCGAATTCAGACAAAGATTAAGAGTCGAGCACGATTAACAAATCGTCTACTTTCTCTAATAATTTAATGAAACGCCAAAACTTCCGCGCGGGGGGGGGGGGGCGGGGGGGGCGGGGGGGGGGGACTGAATTCAGACAAGGATATACAGTCGAGAACGGTACAGCAAATCGTCTTCTTTTTATAATAATTTAATGAAACGCCAAAGCTTTCGCGCTTCGCGCGGGAGGGGGGGGGGGAGGATTTCATTCAGACAAGGGTTAACAGTAGAAAACGGAACAATAAATCGTCTTCTTTTACTAATAATTTAAGGAAACGTCTAAGCTTCCTTTCTAGCCTATCACCCACACACCCCTAATGAGCGAGCGTGTGTGTGTGTGTGTTTGTGCGTGCGCGATCGCGCGCGTTTGCGTAAATTAGTTTGGGCGTGTGCTTTGTTGTTGTTGTTTTTATTTCCGAAATCAGATAAAAATATCATACATAGTAAAATATACAAAGTAAAATATTTATACATATACATAGACAAAAAAAAATCGGTGGATAGCCCAATTCAGCAGTGTTTATAGAACACTACTGTTCTTCCTTGGGGTCCTACACTACAATATTAACATAAAAGCGACATGAAGCAGAATAGAAACAAAACAGAAATGCAAGTTTTTTAAATACCAAAGTAACAAAATATTCAAAAAATAATATCATACGCGTACACCCACACCCACACACACACACACACGGTTATGCAAAATCATTTGAGTTTAAGGAAGTGTGCTAAGAAAAATTATCAGTTATTAGGGTATGGAAGGATCTTAATGTAGTTACATTTCGGATGTGTTCTGGTAGTTGGTTATATTGTGTCGCCCCCCTATAAAAGAATGTTCTTTTGCAATTATTTGAATTCGGTTTAGGGAGATCTAGATTTTGGGATGAGCGAAATGAATAATTATACGTGCGATATTTGATATTATTTGACATATAAGACGGAGTGTAATTATTTAAAATCTTAAAAATCATAGTACATACATGCTTTTTGTAACGGCAGTCTAGAAAGTCCCAATTTAGAGTATCATGAACATGTTGATTGGATGTATGAGAATAAGGATTTACTTTCATTATCACACGGCCCGCCCTGTTTTGAAGCTTTTGTAAAAGTGAAAGGGAGGATTTAGTTGCGGATTGCCAAACAATGTCTCCATAGTCGAAATGTGGAATAATTATGGATTTGTAAATTACATTCAGATCAGATTCATTTATAATATGTCTCAATCTACCAAGGAAGCCAATAAGTTTACTGATTTTCTGACACATTATATTTATATGAGGATCCCATTTCAATTCATTGTCTATATTGATACCGAGGTATTTTGTACTGTCAACCTTAACAATATTTGTATCTCTTATTTTCACATTAAGTACATTACACTTTGATAACTTATGACGGGTGCCAATGAGCATGGTAACAGTTTTTGTATAATTAATTAATAACTTATTGCGAGACATCCATTTATCAAGATATTCCTTTTCATCATTTAAGACAGATTCAACAACAGTGGGACATTTATGCGAAAAATAAATTACGGTATCTTCTGCGTATAGATGTACGTGACAAAGATTGAAAATTTTAGGCAAATCATTTATAAATATCGTAAATAAAAGTGGGCCCAATAGTGAACCCTGGGGCACACCATGAGTCAAAACTCTTTCATTTGACATAACATTATTAATCATGGTAACTATTCTTCTCTCAGACAGATAGATAGCTCTCAAACCATTGTAACGACATTACATCTAAACCGATAGAATACAGTTTATTTAAGAGCACCTGATGGTCAACCGTATCAAACGCCTTCTGTAGGTCTACGAAGACTGCCCCCGTGTACCTGCCTTCATCCATTGCCATTAACCAGGAAGC